TTACCCCAACCGAAAACAAACACAACTTAATGCATATAATATATGTTATGGTTTCACCTTCTCTTACTCACTACACATGTTACATGTAACTGACTGTTCGTTCATCTGCGGTATGTATGATTTAGCAGCTCGACGCTCGCCACTTGGCCACAACTCACTTAGTGCCTGGCCCTGCCACAAATGGCCATAATATTCAAGCCTCACCAGGCCGGAGCAGATGGGAACGGGCTGCCAGAGGTGGTTCTGGCGAATTTATTGCAGGCCTGGGGACTGCTACAGAGGGGCTTTTGTGTTGAAACAAACCTGACACAGACCAACCCAATCAACAGACTTTAAGAGTTGGCCACAATTTCCGCAACATTTGATTGGCAAGTGCACTACAAGAAAATTAGGCAAAAACCATATACAAATGATATGAAAAATGAGCCAAGGTTAAACATGACCCACAAATTGGTGGCATAATTTTGGTTTTATTTAAACTTTTTAAGTCTTTTTGTTTTTTTTAGTGCACTAAAATTTATTATATCACAAAAATATTTTATATAGATTGGTACACTTAAAAAATATGTGAATTTGACCAGGAAGTTTATCATAAAGACATTAGCTCTACGCCTAGAGTTAAATGTTAAATGTTTTCAGTTAAATGTTTCCTACAACTATAAACATTTTTTTTTTGTTAAGTGAATAGGGTAGGCTATTTTAAATTCACCATCAAGCATTCGCACCTTTAATCAATTTTCGGGTCCCATTGTGAGAGGCTGCTCAAAGCGGAGCACACTCGAAATCAGATACAGTGTCGGCAGCAGAAACAGGAGACTGGCCAATGGGGGAAAGGCAACGAACGGGTGGGGGGGATGGGGAGCGGAAATCTGGCCACCCCCAACACTCTGGAGTGTGTCATAAAATGCCAAAACAAATATAAATTTTCACACAATTCAATTTATATGCCCGCAGCACAAGCTCGAGCACCAGGAAAGGATGCTGGATTCGGGATACAGTTTCAAGAGCGACTGTATCGACAGCTCCAAAGTAGTCCCGAGTCGTTTGGCTGCATCCGACCCCATCCGTGCTCCTGCCAGCTCCATTTGCCATCTCCAGCCACCCGTTGTCTACTCATTTTACCACTTGATTGTGTTTGCACAACATTTCAGCAAGCGTCGAGGCATTGGCATCGTCAACGGCATTGGCATTGGCATTTCGCGCTGCAGCCAGCAAACAAACCTAAATAAAACAAAATCCCAGGCCGTGAAAATTTGAAATGCAAAAGCGCTGCGCGAAGCAAACATTTAATGGCGCCTGCTTGACATAAGGAGCGTTACAAAAAAGGGGTTTAAGATAATGTATAATATATAGTTACTGCATTATACACTTGGGTTCTAGAGTTATTCGTATAAGACCTATTATTTTGTTTTTTACAAGGCTTCGATTTTCACATTATTTTTAGCTTTATGTTAAATAGAAAAATTATATTTTATTTAAAGGAACTTAACTTAATGTTTTTATAATTAAAATGTAATATAAAAGATGATGTGATGATAAAAGATATTTCAACAAAATAGTGTTTCAATATTGTCATTTGTTATTATAAATATTTTTAAACTATTGATTTATAAGTTCTTATTTCTATAAACATTTATTACCCTTGACTTATAATAACACAATTTTTTAAATAAATGCGAATTACTCATTCAATTTCCTTTATACAGTGATTAAATGCTCTTAACCACTAAGTTTACAGTTTATTGAACAATAACAACTTAATTTATAACTCTATAGAATACTATTTTTTTTGGTTTAGCTTTAAATAATATTTTGACACGTACTGTCACAATCATCCACACATGTTCATATACAAAATAGAAAGCATGTGGTGTCTGGCGTATAATAATAACAAAGTTCAATCAGAGCTCGTGCTTTGTCAGTTAATCAAATAAAGCAAAGTGCACATGAAAACAAAGTCAGCTGAACAACAAAAAACTGAGACCAATAACTCTTTATTAACTGCCAGGCCTTCAGTCGAATAAAAATAGAACCAAGAGAAAAAGAAAAACTTTCCGACACCCGAAAGTGAAAACAACAAATAGAATATTCTTTATTTCGAAATTCACATTGATCAAAGAATAAGAAATTCTGAGTAAAACCGAATTGCAGACTTGCCCTAAGTGCTGACTTTATTAAAGGGGTATATTTGGGCCTTTTCCCAGAAATGTAGAAATGAATTTCATATTTTTGTTTGGCCAACAATCCTTTGGGGTCAAGAACAGCAATTGGAATCGTCGTCCTTTGTTGCATCAAGTAATCATTGATACGCATTTTCAAGTAAATATAAAATTTACGAAATTTCTGTGCGCTTTGGCCTTGCTGCTGATGATAAACTACGAGCAAAGTCAGGAGTTTTAATTAAATTTGCATGCAAAATTTCTGCAGCAGTCTCATCAAAAGTTATGGCAATTGCACGGCTCCAATTGTTTAAATTAAATCGGAATGCACTGCCATTTGGCCAGCTTAACTGTTCAGGTGCGACAGACGTGCGGAAGGCTCGCTCATATGACAGTCATAAAAGGCAACGGCTCAGAACGTTGCGTATACGCAGCGTGCAACGCGTCCTATATAAACTGTTTTTAATGACGGCGCAGGTCGTTGAGAAGTGAGTCACTGACTGAGTAAATAAGCAGTCGACAATCAAAAAGAACATGATCCAGACATATAGTGCATACATATATCTACCGCGGGTGGCACGAACTGGTGTTGCAGCAGCAGCAGCAGTAGCAGCAGAACAGTTGCTCCTTTCAATTTGCTGCCACTGAAGGAGCATTATTTTTTAATGGCTTCTGCCAGTGCCTTTGTTAAGCAGCCATTGAGTCATTGTATCTACCTTGTAATATGAAAATCGCTTTGGCAAATTTTCTTGATTGTTGCATGCATTTGATGCCCTTTCAGTTTCAAAGGATTTGCTCTTGTTTTATGCGCTTTGCGAATTACTTTAAAATATTTAATTAAAATCTATTCAGCGGGGATGTTGGGGGTTAAGAAAAAGAAAGAAGAAATAATCTTATCATCTAGAAAATACAAAAGTTCTACAACGATAATGATTATTTTTGGTAGTAGTTTTAATTGTTTTTTAGATCAAGGTTATGATTCTTGTTGTGGATGCCGAAATGCAAGTGTTGGCAATTGTTTCTATAAAATGAATGAAATGTTGCTCGTATCATAAAAAACTATCACCTGAAATTAAAAAACAACACGTATTTTCAAAAATGAAATGTTTATCTTGCCTCCTCCCTATATTTTGTATATACAAAAAGAAAATATATTTAATGACAAGTTATACAATGTACAACACAAACAAAGAAATATATAAACAAGAGGTAACTGGCTTATACAAATAAACCGTTTATCTTGATTCGTTGGCAAGAGATTGATTAATTGGCAATGCTCTCTGTAAGGGTACACAAAATCCTTTTGTTGGCTTAAGTTTCGCCGTCTGCCAATTCAGCTTTTGTTTTGCGATGCCAATAAAACATGCATTTCACTTTCAGCTCAACGGTTGGCCAACAATGACGAAAGGTGGTAGGTGGTGGGTTAAGGGGAGGCGTATCACAAAAACATCCTTGCCATCGCAACGCGAGGATCCTTTGTGCAGGGTGCACTCAATTATTTGGTCGTTACTTGTTTCTTATTACCTTTTGCCTACCGACACTACGAAACATAATAACTGCCGCACAGGAGAATCGAGAGAGAAGGCTTTGTTTGTCCGGCACAATTGTTCAATTGCGGAATGGCGGAAATAAATGTGAATTTAATATGCAAAAGAATCGAATGGAAGCAAGCCCAATATTGCTCAAAGGATATCAGTTAAAGATTACTTGGCAAGCGATTGGATTGAGCAATGAAAAATGCGAATATAGACAGCAGTGGAAGTCAAAAGTGAACAAATTTAACAGATATCTGAAATCAAGTACAAAGCTCTTAATTTAAGGCTGACGTTGTGTTTAATTATAAGTCTTGAAAAAACCTAAAGTAAGAAATTTGTATCGTTATAGAAATGCATGTTTGTTTTACGAAATATCGATTTCAAAGAGCTTTGCTCTGATACTTGAAATATTTTTTAATAAATTATAAATAAATAAAAAAAATTAAAAATGATTTGTACCACTTTTATCATTTTGGAACAATTTATTTGCATTAGATTTTTTTTCTTTGTGCATACATACATATCAAAGTGCAAATCTCTGAAAAGGGCTTACATTGCAATCAGGTAAGACAATAAATCGAATTTTACGGGATTTTAAGCATTACATAAAACAATATAAAAACGTGCTAGAAACTCGCACTTTTTACAGTTAAATTTGAATTCCAGAACATTTATTTTGATATAATTGTATTTAAATTATACAAAATAAACATGATATTTTAACTATATAAAAAAATTGTATAAAAATGTTGTGTGTCAAATTTTCTAATCATAACATACTGAGGAAAGCAAAGTTTATGAAAAGTCCTTAAATAGAATATGATTTGAATTTTAGTTTGGAAAACAAAGGCAGTCCTTAAAATGCTAAATGCTAAGGAAGAAGACATTCATGCTTTATAAATCGTTACATGAGCAAATACTGGTTTTAACTGCCTGTTGATTCGAAACGGTTAACAGAGTTATTTTTACAGCAAGCTGAGAACAGCCATAGACACCCCTGTTCCAATTTCGCATTATCCTTCGAGTTTTCCCCTGCTAAGAAAAGTGGAAATGGGAACAAAATTTTGCGAACTGAAACGAAACAAAACTACAAGAGACAACATGGAATGGATCGTGAGGGGAAATTTGGAGTTGAGGAACTCGGAATTCGGATCGCAGGGAATGAAACTGACTTAACTCGAAGGACGAAACATCGTGAAACAGAAGGGGTGGAAACATCTGAACTTAAAATGAACCAATTGGCATAGGCACACTGCGAATCGCGAAATGCTCCGGTTTCAGTTTGAAATTTGCATGGCACAGCGGCGGTCGTCGAGCGGGAAAATAAGCGCGCGAATTCGAAAACCCCAAATAAGTTTAAATCACTTTGCGGGCGGTTGTTTGAATGCTACGAAAGTGAATAAACTTGGCATCTCCAGACTCTGATTCTGAATCTGAATCTGAATCTGTGAATTCCGGTCCTTACTTCCGCGAATGTGTGCCAACTGGGATGTGGGCGTGTCCGCCCCCTTCCCGCAATAAAGTGAAGTGAGGCGAAGTGGAGTGCAAGTATGCCTCCCTTTTGTGAAATCCTGTGAGCTACGACTGTGAGTGCAATGTGTCTTTTATAAATCAAGGAAAATCACATTTTAAATTGCTGCGCATTAGAACGGATACAGATACAAAGGCAGGGCCACAAGGAGGCAGTCAGGCAGCCAGGCAGCCAGGCAGCTAGGCAAGATCGAAAGTCAAACGCCGCCAAACGTTGATTGCGTCGTCGTCTATCCACGAAACGTGAAAAATGAAAAAAAAGAGCGAACAAGAACGTGAAGGATTTGACTGATGTGAATGGAGTGAAAGATGTGACCTGGCCTGGCCTGGCCCACGTCTCCATCCCCTTCCCTTGAATGTGGCACGTGCTATTGTTTGGCCCCCATCTATTTCAATTTGATTATATTGATGAGCATATGATGTAATATATGGAAACGTAATCTGATTAGAGACAGACTTGGGCTCACACCTCTGCTTGGCTTGGCTTGGCTCAGAAATCGTGCTCTCCCATAGACTTTAAAACTCATTAATGTGCAAAGACGCCAATCCACCAGGACTTTGGTATCATTATGAAGGCAGAAGGCGAAAACAAGCAGTGGAAAGCTGAAGCTTACAATGATGCCTTCCAATCAATAAGGGCGTTGAGACAGGTGACACACTCGGGCAAGATATTGGATAGCAGTTCTAAAAAAAAAAGCGCTAGAAAACAACGAAAAACGAGAAAGGATTTTATGCTTGGCAACGCAAAGCAATTCCACAAAAATATCACATATCCCGCCAGTGAAATAACATTTAATAATTGAGCGGAATTCAGACACAACAGAAGTAATAACAATTGTATTGTCCTAGGAACTTCGTTAGCAAGTGTAGTAAAAGACAAAAACTGTGTCTAATTAAACAAGAGCTGTTCTGAAGACATGGCCAATTGGGACAAGTTTTTCGATAACGTAGAGAGCCAGCTACGAATGGCACTTAAATTTTTTGGAAACTATAAAAGCACTCCGACTTCTAAGCTGACCTCGGAAATCATAGTTTTTCCCATAGTAAAAAATATTTTCGGTATTGAATCATCATTGTCAAAATCACAAAATAAATTTGTTTTTGATTAAAGCTGCATTTAAGGACTTTTGCATTTGGAATTTCAGAAATCGTCTGCTGTTTATTTTGTTTAAATTTAAATTTTGAAATCAACAAATAAAAAGCTTTACTATAAAAATTAAAAAAAAAATTCAAAGGAAATTGAATCAGTTTTTTAAGCTCATACGGACATTTTTAATCTTTGAAATAGAAAATACAAGCCAAAAAAATTATCTTTTTAGGACCACGTGTACATTACTTACATAAAGTGAATGTACCCTTTAAGCTATAACCTAATGGTAATTAAGAATTGTTTTTGAAATAGGTTTTAGGGTGGCAAGTGACACATACAATTATTTGATAACAGGTTTCTTGTCTTCTGTTGGAAAGCAAAATACACAAGGGCACCTATACATAAATTAAATTCAAGCGGGAAAAACAATCTCTATTTTGGCACTTTTGGCAAGAGAGCACTCTTTCACACAACACTGCTAATGTCTATTAGGAAAATCTCGGAAGCTAATGACCGGATCTTTCGCTCGGAAATAAATATCAATTTGTTGCTTAGCACCCCTAATTACACGTTGGTCCACATCGGCAGACATCCTTCTAATCGCCCCATTTTGTGGAGTGCAATAATGCATTAGGACTTGCGATTTTTTTTTTTTTTTTTTTGCTATTTGGGGACTTCGATTTGCCAGCTCCGACCGGATAAATGGGGATCTAGCATTCATTTAGAGGAATCGACACAGTTTTGTGGGCATAACGACTTTTTGGCCAACAAAAAATAGCAAACAAGCCATTAAAAATTTGCCAAACTCAGCAGAAGTGGAGGAATCCGAACTAATGGAGAGTGGAAAAGGAGGAGCATGGGGGCCATGCAATTCATTAATTTATTGACTTATAATCAAGCCAGGCCAAAACTTATGCCCAGAGGCAGAGCCGGATAAATATCCATTTATCACATAAACAGAATTCTAACGGCAATGAATCCTTGGTGGTTTTCTGCATTCCTCTGGCCGAACTTATATTTTCGCCTTTCTAGTCTGGCTGCTGCGGTTGGCTTTGCCAAATAAAGCAAGAAACAAGTTAAAACATACGTTCTCTGCGGTCTGACTCGGTGAAACAAAAACAAAAATTGTGGACCAGAGGCGGAGGAAGACAGTCACGTCCGTACTACCAAAATCCCCTTCCCCTGGGTGAAATGTGGTATGCAAATTCAACCGAGAAGACTTCATAAAAGCAATGCAAATAATTAAATAAAGGAGCCAAAACAAACAGCACGAAGCAGGAGCAGAATGACATGCTACTTGAGCTGGCGAAACTTGGATTAGCTAGCTGCGAGAGAAATAAGTACGAAATCCGAAAGTAAATCCCAAACCAATCCAACTTCCCGCCCAGGTGCGACAACCGAGTGAAGCCCAAGCCCAAGAAAAATGTCCTGGCGGGAAAAGGAGCGCTGCGCAGGGGGCGACGCCGGTGGACGCGGGGCAGGCATCCTGGCCGGGAGGAGTCCGGGAACTGCCAGCATACTGTTGGCATTTCTGGCAGCTGTCAGCTTTCGTGGCATGCGAGCGCGTAAGTGTAAACTTCTTTTACTTAGGGCGATAAGAGAGAATCCGGCGTGCACTCTGCTCACCGATTTCACCGCGAATTCGCCACGCTGCTAGGCGAAAATCGTTTTACAATAATACTTAAGTAAATGATATTTATTTAAATATTATAATATTACCAGTATAAGTATATATTATATTTGAGTCACGTTGTAAACATGCTTAACAATCCACTAATTCCGATAATTTTACAGGAATTTTAAGTATTAAATTTCATTAAATATTTAAATATTATTTAGAAATTTTTATTACTTGCAATTTGTTTTTTTTTTTTTTTTGGGATTGACCCTAGCGTCTTGAGAGGCATATTAAACTTCTTAATACCTTAACAATTATTCTTGCTATAATAATGTGTCATAAGCAAATGTCACTCGTGGAACTATGCGTTTTCTTTTATTTTCTTTTATTTTCTCATCTATTTTCTATTTTACTATTAATGTATGCGTTGGTTCCTAAAAGTGGCCATACTTTTTTTTTAATATATTCGCACTGATCTAACCTATCATCTATGAACTTGAAAGAGTGCCTACAAGGAAAAAAAAAGTTTAAAAACAAGGAAAATTTTTGAGACCTATTTAAGCGTTTTTACAATTTTGTACAAATGGATATAAATTTGACGATAATATGATTTTGTCCCCCACTCCAAAGTTCAGTTTTGAGTATTTAGCAAAATTATTTAAGATTGGAATAAGGTGCCGATGTTAAGTAGTCAATTTATTGAAGCAAAAACATCAAAAATTAAATGATACAATAAATAGGTCTCAGCCTTTTAAGCACTATAAATCATTTCTTGTTTAAATTTTATGTGAGTCACAGCCTTGTTTACACTCCAATAATTGCAATCGGTGTTTCCAAACTCTGTACTAGCCAATGGCGTAACCAACTAATCTCTTGATCCCATTGGCATTCGAGTCCACGGGAAAATCGCTTCTAGGAACGCCCCAGAGACCGTGTGTTTACCATGCGAGAGTGCCCTATGTCCCGAATCCCGGCACCCTGTCCAACTTTTTGGCTACGTGCTCTGTTGAGTTGAGTTCCATGTTCCATGTTCCATGTGCCCTGCTGTTTTGTTTGGCGCTAAGCTTTTGTTTTGCATGCATAGTTAATTCAATTTCGCACATTTTTGTGCAAGTGTCGAGTGGAGCGTTTGCCAAATTTAATTTACATGATGAGATTTGCTTGGCTGCACTGTCGTTGGCAACTCGTTGGCACGATTTTTATAAGCTTGTCGAGTTAATTTAATCGTGCAGTGCAAATTTTCATTTAGTCGAGCGCACACACACGCGCTCATGTGATTGTCAGGCACCTGTCAACCGAAAGGAAATCTGCCTTTTCGGTGCCAGAAACTCATTACGCATACGCAACGTGTGAAGATTTCGAGTCAGCCCCCCCCGCTTGATATTTGCCTTTCGTTTTTCGAGTAGTTTATGAAAATGCCTGGCATATTTTCTAGCTCGGCCTAATTGGAGCGGGCCTTGTTAACCGTCTCTGTTTCGGAATCTCGAGTTGATTAAATTCTGTGCGTGCGTAGGGTGAGTGAGTGGTGGGTGCTGGCTGTGGTGGGTGTGGTGTGTCTGTTCAACAGGTCGGATGCGTGATTTGATTGCTCTCGCCTGTGAAATTAGAACAGGTCCGAGCTTGCCTCTATAAAGTTGTCTAATTGTTGGTTCGCTATAATTGCAGGTTTTCCCGAAATTTCAGAGCAATAGCCTCAATAGCCTCAAAGCAAGATTGAATAAATTATGGGAGCTTTCCATTTCAACATGAGTGAACTCTATCATCAAATTGATTTCACTTCCATTGTAAACCTTAAATATTCAAGGCATACTTAATTATTTATGCACAGTGCTAGGCAATCTTTGGGCAAATATTCGCTGGCAAAGCCTTGTCTTGGCGGCTTTTAAAGGGGCTTAATGTTCTTGCGGCTGAATAATTGCCAAATAATATTTATCATTTTGTTTTTATGCCTATCTCCCTGCTGCTGCTGCTGCTGCCAGATCTAATCAATCTCAGCCGAACTGATGGCAGTGCCAAGGCAATATCATTAACAACACATGACCCCATCTCCATGTCCGCACCCATATGTGATGTAATTAAATTGGTCACCAGCAAAAACGAGCAGGGCCACAGACCAACTGGAAGTGGGCGAAATTCAAGGCAAAACAATGGGACAAAGCGAGAACAGAAATAAGTAGACACTCAAATAACACTTAAGCCATCAATCAGCGCACTAGCCAAGGTCAAAGGCAGCGCCACGCCCATGTCCATCTCTGTTAATTATGCCACGACCATGGACCGCATACAAAACAGCAGCAGAAGCAGGGCGAATTCAACTATGTTTTATATAGGAGATACAAGTATTTACCATAGAACGACTCCCAAGACAAATGGCGGTCAAATGTCACGTTTAATTTATTTATGGCCAAAACACATAACCGTTGGAGGGGGGGGGGGGGGCAGCAGAAAAAATTGGGACTCCGGCGATGGGCGTGGCTCAAGGCACAAGGACCGAGCTTTAATTAAATAACTGCGCTAAGTGGAGCCAAAGAGTTGGCGTCGCTAATACAGCCATTAGCCGAATTCGTTGAGAGGCCATAAATTTCACGGTCCAGCTCAGGAATCACAAAATAATTCCCGAACCCTGGTACTCCCTTGAATAAATTCAAGCGTACGCAATTTGGAGGCACGACCTAACTCCAGACTAATAAATAGCTTGTGGCGGTAATTAATTAACTCTGGATTGTCGTAATGGCCAAGTTCTAAGTTTTCATATGTGAGCCATATGTTTTTGTCTAAAAGTTTTCTATATTAACATTTACGGCTTAGGGATGGCTTTTAAATAACTATCATAATAACTATAATATTTGTTTACCTTTTATTGTCACATTTTAAATCTATAAATGTTAGATTTATTTACCTTTTACTTAATATATATTTAACTTATAAAAATTAGACCACAATTAATATGGTGTTAACGTTATTTATTTTCTATAACTAAAACCTTAGTATTCTTTGACTTTGGCAAACCATGAAGCGTTATATCAACAAATTTCATTCATATATTTTTGCAAATCAACAGCTTTAATTAAGTTATTACTTAATACATTTCCCAATTATGGTTGTCCAAAAAGACCTGCTAGTGCCCATTTTTGATGGTAATATACCTATTTGCACTCCCCACTAATTTCGTATATTTACTCGGACAATAAATTGGACTTTGGACAAGTGGTGACACCAGCCACTACATATATTTGTCCTTAATGGACACACACGAGGATGTTTGGGCCACGTTTTCGCATCAAGTCAGTAATGAGTCCCCGAGAGCAATACTAAGCCTAACGAAACCGCCCCGCGGTGAATGTTGTTTTGTATTTGGTTATTCATGTGTGTAAATTATGAGCTATAACAAGGGCAGGCACAGCAATGCGAAAGACAACAATCGTCAATCAGGAGACACGAAGGCAAAAGGCTGTGAAAAACCTAGTGGGGGAGAGGAAACGCTTTAAAGCAATCGAAGGCAGTCGAGTGCTAAATGGGCGTGTCCTCCCGCCCCGCCTATCAGCCACTCCCCCTCGCGTCATCACTTATTCCGTGTAATTGCTGTGTGCGAGAGCAGAATGCCACAAAACGTCGAACTTGGCCCACTGTCGTCGAAGTGAACGACACGGCGCGTCGCCATTTGGCTTTAACAAAAAACAACACACAAGGGTTGGGATGAATCAAACATATTGATCGATATGCGACAATTTTATGCCCTAAAGCATCAATTCATTAACGAAGGAAACGACAAAGCACCATAGTAATGCGCTTCATTTATAAGAAGTATTTAATATTTTCACACATAGTTTTATTCTTTAAAAGTTATAGTTTAATACTAGTTCAATAAACCTTATCAAATAATGTATGTAACGATATAAAAACAAAAAAAATATATATTTAGGAGAATAATACCATTTTAAATGGCGGTAAAACAAAAAACCTTTCCTAAACTATTTGATCAAAGGCGAAAGTACGTACGATTAATAAACTTTAAAGTCACTGCGCAGATCCTAAAAGGCATTTTTTCCTACACATTCCACATTCTACACATCATAAAAGTTATGTTCATGTGTGTTATTATTTTTTTTGGACTAAGTAAACAAACTCTTTCTTTTGTGTGCTAGACACGTTGTTTTAGTACCCAGATTCTGCTTCTGTCCTGTAAAAGTCTTACAGAAATATTTATTATTTTATATAATTTAAACAATTATTTTCTAAATGTAAATCATGTAACGAAGACACTCAGGAAACTTGACTACTAGATTTCCTCTGCCTGCTTAGTTGGTATGCCGTCAGCAATCCATCACAGACCATGGCCATAACCCTTGTCAGAAATCAACTGTTATCGGGACACCTTGGGCAAAGATCATAGCCGAGTCTATGCGACCACTCGGAGTTAAAGGGTAACCACAACAAAACGTGCAGCCATTGATAAAATGTGCGACGGCTGCTGATGTAGGTCGGATCCGGACGAGGGGATCCGGACGAGTTGGATTCGGGGAATGCAGGAGTAGGAATTTATGATTCCATTTTTACTTCTCTGCTCGTTCTTGCAAACAGCCTCCGGCCATGTGAAGAGTTTCTTTCGTTGGGGAATGCGAGCGGGGCAACCTGTGTTGGGGAATGCAAATGGTTGCGGCTTGTGAATTTCTCTCGCAACAATGAGAAATGCTTCACCATGGGTGAAACCCCTGGCCCGACGTCATTGGCCTATGCCCCCCGCTGCTCCGCTGCCAACGCCCTGTTACATGGACAAAAATCAGGTGGTCCACCTGGCAAATGTCAATTTAAGTTTTGAACTAAAGAAGAACGTCTGTAAAAAAAACCTTTTTATCCGAATTACAACACAGATTGTACTCTTTCTATATATAAAAATATAATTTTTTTTTATTTTATGTTAAAAATAAATTTATTAATTGCAACTTT